ATTACAATCACCAATCATTACTTAATATATAAATAATATAAAATTATGTAATATGCTATAGAAAAAATATACATCCTAAACAAATTTTTTCAATTAACTATGAAATTAGTATAAATTAAATGAAACCAAATTTAACGAAATTAAATAATTACAGAAAAATTCTCAATACATGACGCGAAAATGTGAATGCATTATGTACGGCGATGACTGCATTTTTATTTGGAATTGGTCGTTTGAAAAAAATTTCCGGGCGTTACATTTTTCATCTCATCTTGATTTCGTCGATGCGCTTTTAAAAATTAACCACCGGCGGGCACGTGTACGCTCGCGCGCGCACACGCGTGGAAAGCGCACGTGCCGCACGTGATGCACGCACGCACATTTCCAATAGGTAATCAGACGCGGGGGTGCATTAACCTTTCGATCGTGAAATCCCAGTTCGCGAACACGCGAAAAATAAATTTCACTGTCCGCGGCTTTTTCTCGTCAGTGGTAACCGCGAGAATTCGCTCTCGCTCTGACCATTTCATTCATAAATTATTTCTTGGAATTTTGCTTTGAGAAAATGTGTCCCACGACAAAAGTCATCGGTCGTCAAAATGTTAAACAGTTTTGCAAAGTATTCCATGATCATTTAGAGATATAAAGAGAATCAAATAATTAAAATTCATTATATTCGAAAGAAATTTAAATAAAAATAAGTAATTCCTATAGTAAAGATGGAATATTTCAACTCTTTTCCAACTAGCATCCAGAGGAATCCAACGACGAGAATAGAAACTGATGTCGATCTAATAACGACGCGCCGACTTCAGCGAATTCCCGCGAATTAATCTTTTCCTCAATTTGCTCGCCGGGATCTAGGATATTGGAAACGTAATCGACCATCCTTTCATTCTCAGGCCGCAGTCGTGCAATTTGTAAACCACCGCGTTTTAATGCGTGAGACAAAAAGACCGGTGATAACGGCACGCGGTCGGTCGAGATGAAGCGAAAAGCGATTTCGCGCTATGGATCGATCCGCCGTGTGAAACGCGGCGGCCACATAACGACACTTATGGCAAAATTGCAACTAGGGGGGAACAAGAAATAGGAATGGAAGGGAACAGAATTGAGAGAAATGGGAGCTTCGCGCTCGAGTTTGTTCCCATACCAGATCTCTTTTCCGCCAAATTACGGCGAAATATATCGGTCCAATTTGTTTGCGAAATAAGATAATAGAATAGTGTCAATTATCTAATTGACCCTTTAAAGACACGTGTGTATAATTTCATTCGAACATACATCTTATCCTTTTTATGGACTCTCCGTCCTCGATAAGAATTAAATTTCCCTCGAACTCCGAGAGAGAGAGAGAGGCGGAATCAGGACGCGAACACGAGAACGACAACCGTCGACGACAAACGTCGTAATTGGTCGAGGATGACGACGATTCGCACGTGCACTTCTCTCGTCTGGAACGCATCTCACGCCACGGTCGGTTCTGTGTCGGCGTGATAAGTAGGATGTCACCCGTTACATCGGTGGTGTGTGCGCGCGTACGTGCATTCGGTGGTTGGATACGCGTACCGCTACATGCAAAGAGCAACCCGGCGTGTGTTGTGGCTCTCCATAGGGTCGTCCTACAGTGGCTGATGGACGTTGGGAGAGAAGAGGGAGATACCAGGAGCCAGGGAGGGGTAGACACAGCCGGCGAAGCAAAGGGGGGGAAGGCGGGAGGAGGGTGGACCGTGGGGCTTTAATGAACCAATTTAAATGCATGCGATGATCAGTTGGCCTCTGAGCCCTCTTCTTCTTCTTCTGCGGCTCTTTCGACGACGACCGGCTACCTTTACACACGATAGGCCACGCCACACGACACACGCTGCCTCCTAGGATCTTACTCTCGGCCGGAATAGTATACTCCGTCGTTGCTGCTGCTTTCGATCTCTTCTGTTCGCGCGATGGCCCCATCGACAAGAGAATCCCTGCCTTTTTCTTTCCTCCTTTCTTCCTTCGTACACTATACCGCCACTTCTTCCGCCCTTCCCGTATCTTCATTCATTCCTAACCCCTGTCACCCCCTCCGTCACCTTCCCGACTCGTTCACATTCCCGTTCCACCGTCTGGAAGCTCCATCTCCATTTTTTAATGAAATCGAAATTGCAATGGAGAGCGTTGCGCGCGCGTTTCTTTCTCTTCGTCTTCTACTACTTCTTCTTCTTCTTCTTCATCTTTGTTTCTTTCTTTCCTCCGTTCTCGTTGTCTCGTGGACCAGCGCAAAGGATTGGTGGAGAGAGGCAGAGGGATAAAGGGAGCTCCACTGCGGATGCGAAGTGTTGAAGCTCCAGGCGACAAGCGGGATTGTATATTAACCGGTCGCCGCGAATCGTCTCCTGCGAGAGATCTGCCAGCGAAGAGAAAACGCAGATCTCTCGCCGATCTCTCGAGATTTCCGCGGACGATTTGTCGGAAAAGAACTCTTTTTTGCCCGCGAGGATATTAATCCTGAGAAACGGCGCGATTGCGGTTAGAAAATATCCACGAGTTTCTCGATTATTATGCTTGAATGTATGTATTTTACGTACATACGTACCTATACAATATAATACATTCATATATATATTATTGTTTAAATATATTCCTCCATTTTTTGCTCGTTTTATAATTTTTATGATTTTTCGGCATATATAATTATTAATAATTTAGCAACAAATATATAAGCCGAAGGAAGACCCGGCAGTTCTAGGATTAAAGTCTCGCGCCGCAAAGTTGGCGAGAGGGAGGTAGCTTCTCTATGCACGTGATTCATTCGATGTGACACGGGAATTGATACTCCTCCACGTTCCTTCTCGCGTAACAGGTATCGTGTGGTTAAGCCCGAGTCTTAATAATCGGGTGGACGAAGCGGGTGACGCGGGAACAAAGCGACCGAAAGCCATGGGGGATCCCCTGTACCGGCACCTGCTGGAATCCCCGTAACACACACGACGGGGCAACGAGTGCAACGACAAGACGCCGCGGCGCCTTGTAAAAAGCACGATTCGCGTCACCCCATGTCGACCTCCCGCGACGTTTCGATACCCACACCACGTGCGATGACGATCCAACTGCGATTTTGCAGCTTTCCAGTATTTCGCGAACAAACCGATGCGTATTTTTAAATTTGTATTTTGAAATGGCAAACAGAGACTCAAAAGCAGCTATAATTAAAAATGCAAATTTTCAAGAATAATTATTTTCTTCGATCGTGTGTATTTTCATGAAATTTATTTATATTATATATGAATTGTTTGTTTAGAAAATATTAATTGAATTTATTTTTATCGTGTTATAAAAATAACTCGTATATAAATAAATGCCAAACACATAACTTGCCATTTATTTATTCAAGAAAAATATAGGAAAGAGATATTCCTCGAATTCTCAGTTATATTAATTAACAGAGGATGAGTAGCCTAGATTGTAATGGATCTGGAGATAATCCAACTCATCTCGAGATATGTACGATTAGATCCAACCAGTCTCCGATGACTTTTCGTTTTATTAGTAAGAGGAACCAATGCTCTACTTTGTAAAGAAACTTTTATACTTGGATCACAATAGTTATGTGCTAGCTGCGAGTATTTTTCATTGAATGTTACCAAAATTTTTTACAAAATACGTACCTATATGTTAAAATTTCTTCTTTCATCTCATCTTTCCCATAATGATGTTAGTGGCACAATGAATCGTGCATCGTTTTATTTTAGATATACGAGATGTTTTTTTTCATTCATCTCTCTTCTTTTCTTTCTTTTTCCTTTATATCTTCTTCCTTTCGATCGGTCAGATCAAGGCCGAATGGCTGCACCGATCATCATCGGCCGAGCCGTACCGCGAATTAATTAACAGCGATAGACTTTATTTATAGACGCCATGTCAAGGTCGGAGAAAGGGTTTAATTCCCGAAGCTTCCGTCGACGGGGAGATTAATGTCCATTCCGAGTATCGAAGAGATCCCTAAAAGAATTATACGAAGAATGAACCGGTGGTCCACTCAATCCCGCCCTATCCGAATCTTTGACAAAAATTCGGCCTAACTTACAATTAGAACAAGTCGTAAAATAACTCTTCCAACATTCCTTCCAACGATTAAAAAATAACATGAAAAATATTTACAAAATTAGGTACCTTGCTTAAAAGATGCTTAAAAGTGTAATAAAAGAGGGAACTTTTAATCAAATTTAATCATTTCTAAAAATAAAAAATAAGTATGAGGAATTTCCGTGTATGCGAAATGAAGTGACGTACATATCTGTTTGTGCACAGTTTTATCCCTCTGCGACTTTATATATATATATCCGCCGATTGGCGGCTGCACGCATGCACACCTACGCACGAACGCCTACTCTCCGGTCTCTCTCTCTCTCTCTCTCTCTCTCTCTCTCTCTCCTTTCGGAGCCGTCGAGTCTCTCTGATCGCCGTATTGACGTGTGTTATCAGTGATCGGCGCCCGCATGGATCGTACAGTAACAAATGCATGCGGCTTTTATATTCCGTTACGATCGCCTTGCGCCAGGCAGGGTAAGTGGGTAGATATAGGTAGATGGATACTACGTCGTGCGCCTGAATTGAAGATCACGTAATCTCCCGGTTATTTGAATAACACCGTCTACCTCGGCTACTTTATCTCTTATAGCAACTATCTATAAATCGCACATAATGATATATAATATTTTATTACAACGGGGCTTTCGGCGAAGAAAAAATATATTCTCGCTTAAATTAAATTATAAAGCAATATACAATATATCGATACTTTTTCAATCGTCAAAGCAGAATTGTAATCAAAAGACTCTGCAATGTCTCGATGTCAAATTATCTACGTAAAAGTAACGACAGACTACTAGCTTTGCGTGATTTATTGGTAAAATATACAGTGATATTTCGTGGGATTTATAATTTGTAATTAAGAAAATATTTTATAACGACAAAGCAAATTGATTGACGTTTTTTTGAAACCCTCCCGGTGGGTACACCTTGACGTGGTGGGAGTGGCCTAGTACCTGGAAGGTTCATCCTAAAAGGGAAGCTAAGTACCCAAATCGGTCGCGAATCGGTACTAGTAATATTAAGTAGTTTGATTTAGATATGACGAGTGAAATCGAGTGCAATTCGTTTTCAGTATGTCGCGAAGAATTTGTCACGTCTTGATTAATTTACGGGAGTGCCGTATAAAAATCGCGAAAAACATTGGACTTTAAAGTTCGTTTTATCAGTATTTTTTTCCGCATATCGCCGAGAATCGTATTGTTTAATGAATAGTAGTTGAATTCTATTTTCGCGAGCGAGTGCAACGAACTTTACAAGTGCAACGAATCCTGACAACCTGAAAGGACGCATCGGGCAACGGCGGAGTAATCTTCAGGTAATTTATTTTATTTGTAAATTAGTTTTTATTTGTCGTGCACTTCGATACGTATTGTTTGACTCTTTTATTTAAATTAAAAGTAGAGGAAAAGAGTATTATTTATAATAAAAAGGTTAAGAAGAATAGTTTTTTCGACAATTGTATAATTATTTCATTTAATATCTGTTTATTATTGTATTCATTGAATATACATATAATTCGATGCGTACAATAATAATTTTTTGAAATATTAATTCTGTTTAGCGCTGCTATAATTAGTTTTTGTATTTGTGTGTTACAGAGACATATCTACACGTAGCTCCTCAACTTTGCTGCTGTGCATCGACGGTGAGTCAGAAATTATTTTATTTTGAGACAACGAATTTATGAAAATTATCATAGATTCGTTCTAAAACTTCGTTGTTCTAAAAAGGACGCAATAAATAAAACTGAATATATTTTAAACGATCTTTTATAAATATTCATATACGTGCAAGTATACAAAAAATTACTATTAAAAAATATTTCAGCAGATTTAATTTAATTTGTTTAATAAAGAACGTGTTAATGATAATATCTATATTTATATAACTTGATTTAACAGAAATTAAACAAATTATAAAATACAATATTAAAATGTAACATTGAATGTATAATAGTATTTGAAATATTAAAATAACATGAGATTCAATGGATGTTCTGCGGCTTCTATTTTATCGCAGAGAATTTTTTATATAATTTATTTTAAGATAGATTTTATTTTCACATTAGTTATGTCAAAATATCTGATACTTCAAATATATGTATTCTTTAAACACGCTATATCATTAATAAAATAATTTTAATACAAACAAGTGTGTGTGTGTGATGTATGTAATATATATAATAACGATATTAATATCAATATGTAATTTTAGATTTTAATATCAGGATGAAATTTTTTATAAAGTTATATAATATATGAATAGAAAAAAATTTATAATTTGCAGCAATATTTATTGTGTTAAAAATTTATCTTTTTGAATCTCACGTTATTCGTTGTAAATATTTCATACATTTTTGAGATGAGATTATATACAACAATTGATCTCTAGAGTGAACCAGAATAAATATGGCTATGGAATGAAAGGTAGGTGAAAGAATGAATAAAGTTATACAAGGTAGATCAGTAGGCAATACTGATCAAAATGCGCAAAGTAAAATACTGTATATATATATATTTATACATTCTATGCATTTATGTGCGATAGCACACAGTCGAAGTAGAAAAAGATGAAATGCTGCGTTTGTAAATTAAATCATAATTAGGGGGCTATTGGTATAATTTAATACACCTTCAATTCTATATCACCTTTGTTATGTCATTTGTACTATCGAGTACTTTTGAAATGCTCGTGTGTACGATATTATATACAGTTGACATACAATATTATTGATCACGATTCAAAGTTACAATTCTTGTCGAACGATAATCTCATCGAAATTGGCTTCCTACGTCGTGAATCGTGAATACGTTATTTTACGCGCGAACAGGTATAGGCGCCCGTCTACATTAACTTTCATAAATTCTCGGGCGGCTCTTCGACGCCGCCTTTTTCGGTAATGATACTAAAATATTTCGGCTTTTATCCGCTTTTATCAGGCTTTTGACGCGTCGTCCAATTTTTATTACCCGATCAAAGGATTCTGTATTTTCCACATCATTTTTTATATCACCCACACGCATTGATATACAAATTATATGTGTATCTAATATTTTTTTAACAAAACACCATTAACATTGAATATCAAAGGATAAAAATATGTTTAAAATATTTTACAATAAAAAATCAAATATATAATGAGATTTTTTTCAGAAATTAATTTTTGATAGCTTTAAGACGCATGTGTCTCATACTGAAAGAAACACTCTTCGCATTTGACGAAGAGCTGAAACTTTGAATCGCGATTCGAGATCATTTTCTTCTTTAGCGCGATTGATACAAGAGTTCGCGTAATGCGTCGAATGTACGAACAATATTATATATCGGAGGTTCTGCGCGATTTCATCCCCGCCGCACGCACATCGCGCACCCCCTATGTCCACCACCCGCCTATATACGCGCGTGTGTGCACGCGTGCGCTCGTCATCGTCAGGTGCTGTCGAATCGACGTGTTTTGTCGATAATCAACGTCTATCGAATGCGTAATCGAGTGCAAGCTCGCCCACGTACCACCCACTTTCCTTCGCTCTCCTCCGTTCATCCACCTATACCTATCATCTACCCCTCTCGCACTCTCATTTTGCGCGGAGCGAAAACGCTTTCATGAAAATTCGCCCCGTCGTTTTCCGTGTCGCAATGCAGCTCGGCTGTCGTTCGACCACCCGGTACCGTTGATTACTTTCCTCGCTTTTTTCCCCTCGTATTTTTTTTTTTTTTTTTTTTTTGCACGCCGCACGCAGGGGTGGAAACGTTCGCCGGAACGAACGAACGAACGAACCAAGGAGCTGATGGCGGGTATATACGATGTATTTTTCATTTTTTTTTTTCCCGCGCGCGATCGTGTCGTTCTTTCTTTCGTTACGAAGGTAAGGACGCCGGCGAATGGGATATACGAACGAGGTGGAGGTGGTGGTGAGCGGCGGCGAATGGAGGAATGATATTTTCGCCGGGCGCGCGAGCTAAATTACGGGCGCGCGATGGAATGCGCATGCTACTCGTTCGCCGCGCTCGGTTGATGAGTGCCGCGGCCACGAGGCTGATTATGATTACTTTTCCGATTAACGGCACCCGGAGATACCACTACTAGGCGGTGCGTACGTTATCGCGTATAGCGAAACCGAGAGATTGCAACGTCGGGAAGGATTAGCATCGAGCCCCGTGATTTCGAAGTCGACGGTAAATGACGGTGAAATAACAGCGATACCACATTAATTCAACTTCTGATACATTCTTGGAAATATTTCGCGGAAATATGCGTGTATGAAAATTCGTTGTGCTTAGATGACTTTAAAATTAGCCGGATACAGGTAAGATGAAAATATGTAAATTTATCTTGGATAAGGATAAAATTATGTAGCGATTTATCTAGATAACTTTTAGATTATATTATTTTTAAGGCCGCGTTTTTATGAACACTGTTGTAAAAAAATATAAAAGGGATATAAAAATATGTATATTTATATACTTGATTTTTACTACTTCAGTATTTTTATGTGCTATGATTTTCAACCAAATTATCTGAACATTATTCTAGATAATTTAGTAAAAATAACGCTTGTTTTATCTCTATATAAAGACAAGACGCCAAAATTTTATCTAGACGATCATCTAAATAATTTTATTTAGCTAAAACAGCAAACACTGATTTCAAAACTATTATTTTTCTACATGATACAACACACGAGATTTATGTACAGCATCCGAAATCATTTGTGGAATCGCACCTTTAAATATTTTAATGAAACGAAACGGATTAATGACCACGTTTAGATACATACGGCTAAATAATACTAAGCGATTATTTCGTATCGAGATAATTGATACTTCCTTCACTTTAATGAGCAATACGGGGGCACGATACGTTTCTTGCGCATCGAGAGGAGCGTCGCCGCAGGTGCTAAGGGGGCGATATCTTCGGGGCCACAACGGGGTGGGGAATGAGGGAAGGGGGGGCGATTTTTCGCCCCGGTGGCTCCCGCCCTGCGGCAAACATCGCAAAGTCACGGCGGTAAAATTTAGTACCCCGCCACTAAATTTCTTAGGTATTCCAATATATTCCGCGGTGCGTATCTACCTGTTCCGCGGACCTGTCTCTCTCTCTCTCTTTCCTTCTCTCTTTATCTCGCGCTCTTTTATTCCCTCCCGCTTCCTCTCCCTCTCCTTCTTCTCTTTTACATCTCGTACTTGTTCTTTTCCTCTCTCTCTCTACATCTTTCTCTCTCTCTCAAGCGAGACGAGCGTTTGTTGCACACGCTCGACTTTAAAAGAAAAGGCACGAGATGAGGATAGGCGTTCCCATCGGAGTTATTAATGGCTTTGACTTCGTTGCTATGGATATCCATAAGTCTTTGGCCTGCGAGAAAAAGAGAGGATGCGCGAGGGAGGTTGCGAGAAGGAAATAAGAGAGAGAAAGACCTCTCGGACTTCTCTTGGACCTCGGGGCCGCTGCCGGATCGAAGGACGTGAAACACGAGAAAAAGGCAGAAAGATGAAAAGAACGGACGCAAAGGGGAAGGTACATTGGGATTTGTCCATTTTTTCAAGGGGCGGAAAAACAACGCAAAGATTGAGCGAGACACCGATCGCTATCGATAATAATTAATAGATTAATCTATCGCGATTTAATCGTTTTCAGAAATATATATATACCGATACATTCGATATCTTATACAATTTCATTAATTTTGACATTGCTCGGTTCGATTCTGTCATTTACAGCTTTTCTAAAGATTCAAAATTTATTATTTGCTCTTAATAATATGTATGTATACATATATACACAATAAATAATCGAAAAATTCAGAAATCGTTTCAAGAAATATATATACCGATACATTCGATATCTTATACAATTTCATTAATTTTGACATTGCTCGGTTCGATTCTGTCATTTACAGCTTTTCTAAAGATTCAAAATTTATTATTTGCTCTTAACAATATGTATGTATACATATATACACAATAAATAATCGAAAAAAATCAGAAATCGTTTTCAGAAATATATATACCGATACATTCGATATCTTATACAATTTCATTAATTTTGACATTGCTCGGTTCGATTCTGTCATTTACAGCTTTTCTAAAGATTCAAAATTTATTATTTGCTCTTAACAATATGTATGTATACATATATACACAATAAATAATCGAAAAAATCAGAAATCGTTTTCAAGAAATATATATACCGATACATTCGATATCTTATACAATTTCATTAATTTTGACATTGCTCGGTTCGATTCTGTCATTTACAGCTTTTCTAAAGATTCAAAATTTATTATTTGCTCTTAACAATATGTATGTATACATATATACACAATAAATAATCGAAAAAAATCAGAAATCGTTTCAGAAATATATATACCGATACATTCGATATCTTATACAATTTCATTAATTTTGACATTGCTCGGTTCGAGTCTGTCATTTACAGCTTTTCTAAAAATTCAAAATTTATTATTTGCTCTTAACAATATGTATGTATACATATATACACAATAAATAATCGAAAAAATCGGAAATCGTTTTCAGAAATATATATACCGATACATTCGATATCTTATACAATTTCATTAATTTTGACATTGCTCGGTTCGATTCTGTCATTTACAGCTTTTCTAAAGATTCAAAATTTATTATTTG